CGCACCAACGTGCCTACCGTCCCTGTCCTATTGTTTCTCTTATTCTTTTATTTTTCTTATATGTAACCATTTCATGTATTCACAACTATGTATACATTTATACTTATTATCTTGTAAACAATTGGCAAATCAAATAAATAAATAAATAAATAAAATAAATGATGTATGTAAACCTGGGATCACATTGTTCACTCAAAAGAGATGTTTAAAGAAGAAAAAAATGGGGAAAAATTATTTTGGCTTGGGCAAATACACTCATGTATGCTCGCATATGAGCACAGAAACATCTATGGATTCATGCAGACAATCTATGCGTATCTCGGTGTGCAAAATGTCCCAAAGTGCATTCGCTCCAATTCTTTGATCTAAGTTCAGGGAGGGGAGGGGACGGGACTCTAATAGAGGAAACGGTGCCCAACTCCTAGTCGAGACACAAAGCATCCTCCGCTTTGCCCATGAAGCTCCTCGCTCGCCAGGAAAGCCCCAGGTCAGGCACGTCACAAGGAATCAAGAGGGACGTGGAAGCTGGTGCTTAAAATGCGGGTTTAAGAAATACGGAATAAATAGTCTTGTTTTTAAATCTCCCCAGCAGAAAATCTCAGGCAGAAGTTTTAAGTCCTGCAGCCCCAGAGGGGCTGAATATGCAGCAGCAGCCAACACGTTTCAGCCACGCTGCTTCTTCTCCTGCTTCCCCGCCGTGGAGGAACCCAAAGGGCCGGACTTGCTCCCGGCTTCTCCTCCGACCTGCCCTCCACTCACCTCCCAGGAGCCGCTTCGACCCTCCAAATAACAAAAGAAGCTCAGCAGACGCCATTACCCTCCCCTGGGTCAGCCAGAAGAGGAAGTTACTCTGCCCTTCGCTTCCTCCCCCTTTATAACCTCTCTAGCAACGCACTACTCTATCGTTTCAACTCGCAGCCAAGCCTCTCTGCCTGAAACACCATACCTGAAACAAGGGTTCCTTCTCTGTAGCACGCCATCTAGCGACATAAGGCGGAAGAACATGCTTCTTTCTACACTAAGGTGTTCTCATGGATTCCGTGCTTCTTTAAGTGCCATCAAGTCAGAGGTGGAATTCAGCAGGTTCTGACCAGTTCTGGAGAACCGGTCGTGGAAATTTTGAGTAGTTCAATGAACTGACAAATACTACTTCTGACTGGAGATTTTACAGTTTCTTTCCGCTGCCATGCCCACCAAGCCACGCCCACAGAACCCTTAGTAAAAAAAATGTGAATCCCACCACTGTGATCAAGTCCTATTTGACTCCCATCGAGCTCCTCGGTAGCTTTTGTCCCGGAGGATCCATCCCCAAACCTTTTCTTTCTGGTCCCCCGGAGAGGGCACTGCTTGTTCCATGAGCCCGAAGCTTCGTATGCCAGGAAAGCTGCTTTTTTTGGGGGGGGGGGGGGGGGTCTAGAAATGACGTGCAGTTGGAAATGAGAAAGTGCACCTCCCTTGCTTCCAGACACTTTTTCCTCGGGTGGGGGCGGGGGGGCGTGAAGGTAACTCCTGAGAACCTGCCTCTGCAAAGCAGCAAATCTGTTAAGAGCGTAGCTTGTCTCTTCTGGGATTTTATTTTCTCTTACTTCCCAATTTAGCTATCAAGCCTGGTATTTCTTATTGGGGCCCCATCCTTGGTTATCAATGGATCATCCGGGGGCCAATTGGTGTTGCACCACCCCTATTTCTCTTCCAAACTCAAGAAAGGGCTGGAAGAGTAATTCCCCTCCCTTCTGGACATGTTACCATCCTGGGTGGCTTTATGCCTTCTACAGTGTCAGAATATTGTCCCCCCAAATATGGGTCCTCGTTTTACCAGTCTCAGAAGGATGGAAGACTGAGTCAACTTTGAGCCCAGTCAGGACTGAACTCCAAGGCTGTGGGCAGTCAGCTGGCAATACTGCACTCTAACCACTGAGCCACCAGGGCATCTGTCACTATTCTCCCACCTTTATTATTCTTGCATCCACCTGTTCTACCAGGTCAGATAGGGTGGCTACGCTCCTAGCCCTTCCCTTAAATATTGCCACCTGATAGGAGCTAGGAAGTGAGCCTTTTCCATTGCAGACTCTTTCCTATGAAACACTCTTTCCCCCTGAAGTTTGGCAGGCCTTTATCCCCCTGGTCATCCATAAAGGAAGAAAGCTCTAGCTTTTCCACTAAGCACTGGGTTAATAAGAAGAGAGGACAGCATATCAGAAGCTTGAGTTTAAATAAGGTTTTTGTTTATACCCATTTGGTTTTAATATGGTTTTTAAGTTGATTATTGATTGGGAGTCAGCCAATGTTTGTTATAAAATGGTTACATAAGTATTTAAACAAATCCGAGGAAAAAGATGAATCCCAAAAATGGCTGCCCTTTTGGCTGTCCTTGTGCAAGTTCCTTCAAACTTTCTACAAATTTAATTATCAAATTTATTTCCTGCTAATCCTGCTATTAACTTCTCCAAGGAGAAAGATTACCAGTTTGGAGAAGGAATAGCACCGGGGATGAATGCCACCAACCTTGATAAAAGCGTGCTGCATTTGCAGGGCAAGTACAGGTTAAATGTGGAGGTTTTGCATTTTGCAATATATGGTGTTTATTGGGTTTTGTATGAAGGTTTTATTGCTGTAAACCGTGCAGAGTCACCATTACTTGGGCTGCCATATACTGTACATTTTCATTTTTCATGCTAAGTAAAAATACAGAATAGAACAGAATAACAAAGTTGGAAGGGATCTTGGAGGTCTTCTAGTCCAACCCCCTGCTCAAGCAAGAGACCCTAAACTATTGTGGTATACACATACATATATACATGTTTATATCCCCCTGTATTATATTTGGAAATAAGTAATGTGGAAAACATAGCTAATAGAGCTCCAAACTCGCTTTCTCTGGTCCAGCAATGGCAGATCCACTCCGTGAAAGGGACATAATGCACTGGGCCAAAAAAGGAAGCTTAGATGAGATTAGAGAAAGGAAAGTAGCTTGATATTTTCCGAATAATCATTTCCTCTGATGGAGTATGTTTCCAGCATTGTGCGAAAGCCAATCTAACTGCTGTCAATATATGTGTCCAGTAATATATATATATATTTTGCCAGAAGCGGCAACTAAATGAAAGACCTCACTTTTAGGGGTGGATGGGAGTCTAGAAATGAGGTGCACATAAGGACAGCACCTCCTTTGGTTTCTATAGCTTTTCTTTTTGGTGTGTGGGTGTGTGTGTGCGCGCGCGCACGCGCAGGATAGCTCCTCAAAACCTGCCTCTGCAACTTAGAGAAGCTTGACCCCTTGTCTCTGCTGGGATTTTAGTTTCTTTTCCTTCCATGTTTAGCTAACCAGCATGGTATATCCCCATGATGGCGAAGCTTATGGCACGTGTACCACAGGTGGCACGCAAAGCCATTTGTGCCGGCACGCAAGCCGCAGGCAAACGTACCTCACTGCGCATGCGCGCGCGCTTCCCGGCTGATTTTCGGTCACCTAGAGGCTTGAGAACAGCTTCTGCGGACTTTGCAGACCGAAAAATAGGCCCGTTTCATCACTTCCTGTAATACCGGAAGTGACAAAACAGGCCTATTTTTCAGCCTACAAAGGCTGCAGAAGCTGTCCTCAAGCCTCTGGGAGGCCAAAAATGAGCTGGGAGGCACAGTGCAGGTAAGGGGGTGGCATGGGGCACGTATGCGCAGGGAGCATGAGGGGCATGCATTGCCTTCTGGGTGCTGGCACGTGAGTGCGTGCACAATTTTTGCCACAAAAGCCCAAAAAGGTTAGCCACCACTGGTATATCCTATTGGTCCTCCATCCTTTCTTAGCAATTCAAAGTCTAGCCTAAATTGTCTATATAGATTCTCAGTCAGCCAAGTCATGATATAAATGGACTTCCAGAAAAACTAAAGGAAGCATTTCACTTCATTTTGAAATGCGGACAACAGAGTCATCTCCAACAGCCTGCACCTGTCTTGAACAATGAAGGGACACAGGACAAAAAACATCATGTGGCCATGAAGGCTCCACGCCCATTTGCATGATTCACGTGACACTGAGGACACAGATAAACCTCCAGGTGGCCTCCAAGACTCTCCAAAAGAATGCAAATGGCAAGCTTATTTGCAAGGAATAGAAAACCTTCCATTCCCCACCATCCAGTCAGAGCTGAAGTGTCTTGAATGATAATTGAAATGTCTTCAAAGAAAAACCTGAAATTCCAGTTGCCTCCTGATAAAGCACCTCTAGCTGGTGCTACCCAAGAACCACCTCTATTTCTTTTCCATGTCAGGAGAGGGCTGGAAGAATAATTTCGCTCCTTCTGGACAGTTGGCATCCTGATGGCTTTTTGCCTTCAACAGCAGTTTTTTCTATGCATAATAAAATCATGAGAGGTTTTCCTAGCAGAATTCAAGGCATTGCTGCAGATTCAGATCATTTCTAATTGCAGCTGAAGAGGGCAATGAAAGGTTGGCAGCCTGGGACTTCAACTCACCCTCTGTTTGCAGCTCTGACTTTGCCACCTGGAGAAAGGGCTGTGCAGGAGGCAAGACACCTGGGCCCTTCTCAGTCTGGTGGGGAATGCAATGGTGTGGGAGTATGCCAAATGTCAAGAGTTTGTATTTTGCTATTGGCTATATATGTGGTTTATTGATTTCTGTATTAAGGTTTTATTGCTGTAAGCCATTTGGAGTCACATTGATTTGGGCAGCCATACACCATTTCTTAATAAATAAAAATACACACATACATAAGGTAAAGGTAAGGTTCCTCCACACATGCGTGCTAGTTTCTGGCTCTACAGGCAGTGCTCATCTCCGTTTCTAAGCTGAAGAGCCAATATTGTCTCCATGGTCATGAGGCTGGCGTGACTAAACGCTGAAGGTTACCTTCCCACTAAAGTGGTCACTATCTTCCTACCTTTTTTTACGTGATTCGAACTGCTAAGTTGGGAGAATATCCCACCTTTATTCTATGTAGAAATAACACAAGGTGGCAAACATAACTAACAGAAATCTAAGTGCCTTTTCTCTGGCCCAGCTTGATGCAGTGAAAGGGAACAACCACACAACTCTAGAGAAAGGAAGCTCAGATCTCCTCCCTCATGTTTGATACTAAAATATTTTTGACTAAAAAGAATTAGGCAAAAAATTAAATGGTTAATTTCTCAACTCGGCTTCCAAAGAGAGAAGAGAAACAAAATTCAAGATTCCTCCACACACATCAAATTTTGCTTGATATGGAATTTCTTGTGTGCAGTAAGAGAGGAATTTTGTGTGAAACACTGTCCACAATCTGGGCATTTGAATGGTTTCTCCCCAGTGTGTAACCTTACATGATTTATAAGACTAGACCTGATACTGAAATCTTTTCCACAATCTGGACACTCATATGGTTTCTCCCCTGTGTGAGTCCTCCAGTGTATCACTAAGCCAGAATTCCGAATGAAACTTTTGCCACATTCAGGACACTCATATGGTTTTTCTCCTGTATGAATTCTCTGGTGTTTAACCAGATAGGAATTCTGACTGAAACCTTTCCCACAAAATAGACACTCATATGGTTTCTCTCCGGTGTGAGACCTCTGGTGTAACATCAGATGAGAATTCTGACTGAAACTTTTTCCACAGTCTGGACACTGATACAGTTTCTCCCCTGTGTGAATTCTCTGGTGTATCACCAAGTCGGAATTTCTAATGAAACTTTTCCCGCACTCGAGACATTCATATGGTTTTTCTCCTGTGTGAGTCCGTTGGTGTATCACTAGGGTAGAATTCCAATTGAAACTTTTACCACAATCCAGACATTCATATGGTTTCTCTCCTGTGTGAGACCTCTGGTGTACTATCAGGTGGGAATTCCTATAGAAATCTTTCCCACAATCTGGACACTTATATGGTTTCTCTCCTGTGTGAGTCCTACGGTGTTGCACAAGGTGGGAATTTCGAATGAAAGTTTTCCCACACTCCAGACACTCAAACGGTTTTTCTCCTGTGTGAATCCTCTGGTGTATCACCAGGTCAGAATTCCAATTGAAACCTTTTCCACAATCAGGACATTCAAATGGTTTCTCTCCCGTGTGAATCCTCTGGTGCGTGATCAGTTTGGAATTCCTACTAAAAAGTTTCCCACAATCCAGACACTCATATGGTATCTCTCCAGTATGCAACCTCTGATGTATCACCAGGTTGGCATTCTGACTGAAACTTTTCCCACAATCAGGACATTCATATGGTTTCTCTCCTGTG